TTGTGCCTACTCCTAAACCGTACCTGATGTATATATTCCCCCCTAAGCCCTCTACAGCGATTTAAGCGACACAAAACGTAAGCTTTAGTCCGCCACCTTGCATGAAAAGAAGGAGAACGTCGTGTGGCCTCTCGTTATAAAATTATACAAAAAGTATTTTTTTATTGACCATTGCAGTACTTTATTAAGGTATTTCATAAGGTCATAGTTCCATAACTATGTGGTATTGGTTTTAGCATGCAGTATAGTGTAAATACGCATTAATTTCAATTTACTTTTTTGTCAAGTTTGTTATTTTCGCCAGCGTCATTTATTTAAGCGGGAATTTTAAAAAGTTAGTGAGACGTTTGCCTAATTCGTACTCACAGCTTTATTCTAATTCGTACCGGTACGATTAAGGATAAACGATAGGTAATATGTACGACGTTAACATCGTACATATTACCTATTTTTTGTTTGCAGTAAAATGGCACCGCGGAAATATAATACCTGGCTTAAAGCTAATATGGAAGCTGCTTTCCAAAAATTCAACGATGGATCGTTGTTCGAAGATTGAAGTTGAAAAACTTAAAAGGCAGAACAAGGAAGATAATAAGTCAGGAAAAAAGACAAAACATCCTAAAGAGACTGAAACATGGCTATGTCTGTTATGTCATGAAGATCGGTCTGAGGACATGATACAGTGCAATGCATGTTCCAAATGGGTACATGTCCTTTGTGCAGGTGCAGATAGTACGACTTATTATTATTGTTGTGATAATTGCAAGACGATCTCATTAAGTACGAATAAGGAATATATGGGTACGAATTAAGACAATATAATCCTAAATTGTACTTTTGAATTTATTTTATTTTGTTATCAAGAAGATTACTGTGTTTGTTATTTTATGTTATAAATTAGGGTAAGAGAATAAACAAAGATTGGACCTACAGTGCTTTTATTATTTATTTGCTAATATTATTCCTTTAACAGCAATTTTGTTCTAAGGGGTACGATTTAAGCAAATGTACCTATGTATTATAGTAAAAAACGGTTATTTCAATATTACAAACTGTCACTTCAATTTTATTTATGTATCTATATAAATCTATAGATATAAGAGCTACAACGATTTTTCTAAGTTCTATTTATATTTTATAAGAAAGAACTAGTTTTTAATGGTTGATGATGGACCAGTTGTGATAGGATGAGCATGAGGTCAGGTCAGTAAGCCCGTCGCGACAAATTCATCAATCATTATGGTTTCCAGGCGGAATCATGTGGAGGTCAACCTGACATGATGCATTGATAGCAATGAGGTCAGCAATCCACTTTGGTAACAATCATCCTTTTGTTAATAATATACACTAGGTCAACCACCATGGAGTTCCCCTTCAAATCCATTCTTATTAATTCTTGCTGAATTTGCTATAACCGCAATAATTCATATGATTGTACCCATAACCATTCATAGTTACAGGTATACGGGCAGATTTCGTCATTAGCGAACTATGCATATTCCTTTATACTAAAGCTTTAGGGGTTTACTACCTTTAAATCGACCACAAAAGTGCTGAGTTCGGATCTGGTCGACATCAAAAAGCTTTGTGTGAAAATTTCTATTCCTGCAGACATTCCGGAAATGGAGCGTTTATATACCAAAATTAATCCGTGAGATGTCGGCGAACTCACCCCCTGCTACGTTGGATTTAAATATATTCAGCTAAATGTAGGTATTAATGTGCATTCAGCATGACGCCGACTTTTGACAAGGTACCTGACTACTCCATCTGCGATAATAGTCCTAAGGTAACAGTCGTTTAATATTTATTATTAAAAGCACGGCGGAATGAGGAATGAAAATTGACTATATCTGAAAACTAAAATCAACACAACTAAATGAACTGTATATCCATAGATCGCTGGATCATATCCGGCTCGAAGGACCACTAATTATGAAGGATTCTTTTTTAAAACCATACTCTTTATAACTTTTTTATTCTCCCCCACAAGTTTTTATATCAATAACTAAACAATACACTTTGTACACACTACCGAATACTACAAATAATAACATTTTTTGTTTTATATTATATATTTTTTAATTAATTTTAACAGCACTTGATATTACAGTTTCACTACATAACTAATTGATGTGATATTATAAACACTAGACAATCATAGCAAACTCACTGTTTACTACAATAAAATTGTTACCACCAATAATATTGTTTTTTTAACCTCAAACATATATCCATATAAATTTTATGTATCAACTCGGAATTTAAGTTGGAAGCAATTAGGTTTTATTGAGTCAAATTTACGCCTGAATATTGACACGCAAGGTATAATCGTATATGACGTCAATTTAATCCATATCAGTGTTTAAAGTTACAACTGATATTTTTGTAAGTATATTTTACCACTGAGTCTCTATTGAACGAATAAACACGTCTTTTCTAGTCGTTGTACTGCCTTTAAAAGGACGAAACCTACAATAAATTGAATCTATAAAACCACCTGTAGTGTTCAAATGTTTTCTAAACAAGTGCTTGCACAGTTTTGTTCTAAGCGACGCGTTCAAAATAAATTTATACGATGGATTGAGTGTAAATATATGAAATTCTAACAAAGTGGACAGTTGTATAGAAAAGGCGTATTTCTCGTAAGTGACGTCGATATTTACATTTATTATTTTTCGAAAAATACGATTACTTCCAGGTGTACAGTGAAACCTTTTTTGACTACAACCTTTTATACTAATACAGTGTGCAAGTGAAACAGTTATCACATATATCCTTGTTCATACATTGTAACCATAGAACAATAATTATTATTTATTAGTACAATAATTTACAGTGAAACGTACAAAGTAGAATGCACTTGCAACTTTTTTCAGTTTTGTCACGATTTTTTTAATTGTATTACTTCTTCTAATGTTTATATCTAAGTGTATTTTTTTTGAGAAAAACTATAATTCTAAAACATATTTTTATTAAGCATGTTAGTAACCAAAATGTAATAAAAGTTTTGCATTGCATGCCAGAATATTCTTATCTTGGGGTTTTATATGTAGCTAGAAATGACAGTCTATACTTATTGGATAGGCCATCCCTGTGCCTTATAGAAGCTGAATAACATCGTATAAGCAAAAAACATGGAGGAACCCTTTGCTTCTGAATAAAAAAGCATTACGAACCTTATATGTACTTTCATTAAAAAATATTTTCATTCTCTACTATTATATTTCGTTTCAATGATATTAATTATTTAGAAATTTTGTAATTAAAAAGAACATATAAATATAAATAAAAATAAAGTTGTGTAGTCTCGTAATCAATTGTTAAAAGTTAAAAGATATAGTTCTTACATATCTTGTTGATTTAACTAAATGTTGATGAAACAATATAATTAGAAAGTACTCATTTGTAGGCATTAAAATAGTTACGGATACCATAATCCAAATCATATCAAAAGACACTAAGCTCTGCTTATCTTGGGACTAGATGGATGATGAATTGTCCTGATATATTATTATTATTATTATTTGTAGATGTATATTATTTACCTTAATTGAATAATAAAATCCCATTTGTTTAGAAAAACATTGTTAGAAAACAAACAGTTGTTTCATAACAATGGGAACTGGGATACAAGAAAGCAACTAAAATAAATCTCAAAGTTATAAAAGAATTATTTATTGTTTTGTATTGTTAGAACGTGTGCAGTCTTAGGACACTTGACAGAAGTCAAGATTTTCTTTCCGGAATCTAAGAATAACATTACTCTTACATATTTTAAATACAGAGACGATCCGCATGCATCAGACAGACTTCCTACTTTACTAATGTAACAAGAGATATGCATTATGCTAAATTTATCTCGTAAAATGCCAGTTGTAAAATAAAACACTAGCTGACCACGCAACTTCGTCTGCATCACACTTACATGATATTTATCATTATATTTCACCCAAGTTACATAAAATCTTTTAAAATTATAGCTTATGTATTATTCTCATGTATAAGCAATATTACTGTAAAGTTTCATCACAATTCATTCAGTAGTTTTTGCGTAAAAGAGTAATAAACATCCATCCATACTCATAAACTTTCACGTTATAATATATTTAAGATATTATGTATAGTTTAATTCAAATTATGGTAAAGTTTATAAACAGTCTACATATAATATTATTAAAATACAGAACTATAGAAATATAGTTTGATGTCACAACTGCATGAAGTTTGCGTGTTACTTATAGGCCCGAAGTTCTATGCGGTATAGTCTAATTGGCTTCCACTAAATTTTAATTCGGAGTTCCAAAGTAAAAGTTATGAACAAAACTTCATAAGATGAATAAAAATAATATTATTACACGGTAATTCAATGCTGGAGAGCTATTGTTGTCAATAAAATAACTTTTCAAAAGTTTTATAAAGTTTAATAACTAATACTTATAGTTTACTTTCAAACTTAAACTACTTTGCACAATCTGTATTTCTATCCATTGCTGTGCATTCAACATTCAAACTTCTACAACCATTAAATATTAAAAATAAAGTTTCCAGATACGAAAACAAGTTGTAAAAAGTTATAAAACGCTGCCCCAGTACAAGCTCCCTCAGCGGCACAAATACCAATATCGGGACACGTAGGTGTACATACGTAGAGGGGTCGTGTGTCCCTGAACACGGTACATTCGCGATGTTCCCACTGGTTGATCGTGTGGGGTCGGCCGTCGCCCTCTTGAGCAAGTGTCGCTCTAAGTTGTCGGGCAAAGTTTGCGCGGCGTGCTACAACCGCCAACCAACCTCCCCCATCGATCGAAGCGGGTGCGCGCGCACCACCCGCCTCCACATATATACTGATGCCCTCTCAGCAGATCCTCACAACGCAAGAGGACGCGCGCGACCTGTAACGCCGCTCGCCTGGGGCGCCGCTCTTTCTATTCTCTATCTTTCTCTGTTCGTCTGTCTCTCGCTGATGCGGCCGCGCTGAGGCTGATGCGGGCGCCGCCATGCCGCGCTGCCTCATGGCCAAGAAGTGGAAGGCGGCCCCGGCTGCGGAGCTGGCCGACGAGTCGGATGAGGAGATCGACGTGGTGGGTGAGGGGCGCGGCCGCAGTCCCGCTCCCGCTGCCACCGCGCCGGGGCCTTCGCCGCGTGATCCAGAACCCACGCTCCTCTACAACGGTGAGTTCCCCCTCTCTCTTTCTCCTTCTGTTCCAGAATGCAGCGCATGCCGCCCACTACGCTCCGGTTGCACATTCCAACGAAGTCCAAACAACCCAAGGTCGACTACAACAACTAGAACTTTAGTTACAAGTTGGACTTGTTGTTCAACTTGTATACTGTGTTTGTTTACATTCTGTTTTAAAAAATATTTTGGCCTTATTGCGACTGGCTAATATTTTGCGAATTCGTATCAATTAAAGTTTTTTCTTGCGCACGCGAAATCCATTTTTCATGCTAAATTTACAAAAAAATAAACATGATAACTAAACAAAACATCTTAAATATCAAAACAATGTTAAAGCCGCGCGTTCCCTCCCAAAATAATACACAACGTACCTAAATACAAACAAACAACTAAATAAACAAAAATAAAGAGATAAACAATTGTCGATAAAAAAAAATATGTAAAGGAATATCAAAATATACTAAGTTCAAACAGGCGAAGCTATAATATTAGCAAGCCATATCGGACCAAATTAGGCCACGCACTTATACTTAATAGTTTAATTACAATTACAAACAATCAAAACATAATCCAATTGTATAGCGAACATAAATAGAGAAATAGTGTAAATTTCCTATTTATATAAGATATTTGACCTCAGGCATACCAAATTCCGATGTCAACATATCATTTCATTTTTCTATATGAGGTCCGGTATCCATATTTGTATTCAAGAACTTTATTTATAAATACAGTTTTAAGAAAAAATTGAACACATCTCAATTTATAACAATATAACTTACTTAAGTATAAATCTACTCAAACATATTTAATATTTTCTAAAAATGAATACAAATTGAATTAGAAAAGATATGAAAGACTTTTGCTAAACTGTATTAATTATACACAAGTTGTAAGTATAATAAATAAATCGTATACGTGATGATAAAATCCACTATCGTTTACGATGCGTCATTAATTATTTTATGATTACGATACAATATTACGGTATAATAACATAATAACACATATAATTTGAAAGATGATCATTACGATGGACAATCAACATATGTCCCACTTTAGTTGTGGATAATATCATATATTATAAATACTGCGAACTACAAAGTACACATAATATATTCTACGCTAATGCAAAACTACTTCTCAAAAGCGATTTTTGTTCGATAAATTTATAAGTATATTATTACGGGTATTTTCCGCAATGCGTATAGATTTCTGTAACCTAATAGTTACATAACCGAACTATTTTCTCAAGACAGACATACATATACATGTATATAAATAATCATAACATAAATACTGAATAAAGATATCAAATGGATCGCGTCTTCAAAAATACTTTTTTAAATCTATCTCATTATATAAATAAAATAAAAACGAATGTAAACGAATTCGCAAGTAATAGCTAGTCACAATATACCTATAGGTACTATACGTCGAAGGAGCATCATCATATATAATCTATTATACTTTCTAAAGGTAAGTAATGGGTTCGTATGGAATCAATGGTAAAAAACTGTCAGTTTGTCTATATTCTGGCTAATAAGTAATAAAATAATAATACATAATTTCCCATGGAATAACATAGTTTCTGCCTACCCCTATGAGAAACAAGCGTGACAAACATTCTCGTCACGTCTGTTTACCGAACGAATTTTTAAAAGAATTCTGTTAATTTCTGCTTGCGATTTAAGAGTCACCTTGATTGACTATAATAAAAAGTAGTCCATGGTGTTCTTCACTTCAAATACCTGCATACAATAAAATATATATACCAAAATATCACGATGTTTGATTAAGCCGTGAAAGCGAAACAACCTATCAAATATGACTAAGACGAAGGGAGTAAGTAATGCGAACTAGTGGCACTATTGCCAAAAAACCATATCAGGTCGACCTTTACGCGGTCTAACCTAAACCGCATCGTGGTTGAGTCCTGTGAATTCGCCATAATAGGTTAGATGACCTTACTTTATCCATCCCATCATATTACATTGATACACCATCAGTGGAAGATGATGGGATACCAGCTAGCTAGATAGTATACTCATAGCGCATGCGTGTGCGACATCATCTATAGAAACAAAAATGAGCATATAAATAAACTCACTCTTGTACTTACAATTTTGCTCCTGTAACATTTTAGCACAACTAGATACGAGTGTTATTAAATTACACCCGGCGTGTGAATTTCCAATACCCTGTAATGACACACATAAACAAATTTGTAGCGGTTTATTTAATTGCTTCATAATTTCACAGTATTGCTCACTATATATTGACGTGCTATTAAGTTATACATTATTCAGACTAAGTACAAAGATAATGGTAGGTTTACATACTTACGTAAATATTCTTAACGTACAAAAGGGTAAAATTGCTTTAAAATCCATATAATTAAAGAATTAGAAAATAAATATAGCTGTTTTCTCTGTTTACTTATCGATACGAGTATGTTAAGATAACATTCTTATGTTGTCATGAAGCCGAATCAGTTTGTCGGAAATTTATAATTATGATTTCTAGAAGGAACCACTTATAATGTAACATGACTGTAGATATATATACATAATAGATATTTGGTGCAAATTGCTCAAAAAATAGTCTAGTATCTATAAAAGAAGCTAATAGAAGAGTATACATCTAAAGGTAGAAAAATGTATAGAGACCGAATGCGAGCGCAACCCCGTTTAGCTGTGATGCTTATTTATTATAATTTAGAATTACATGATAATAAATAAAAAAGTAATTATCACTACAAAATGGCGGATATTCTGATTATGGGCTAACTACAGAGTTTTGCCAATTTTAAACTTCTATTTAAAGGAATGTTAAAAAAAATCTTTATAAGAATATACATACGTAATAAACACAAGCTATAATTGCGCGCGAAATGGGGAACACAAAAGTACCTATAGATAAAAATAATAATTCACGATAGTTCACGATTGCGCGTGCGCAATATTCTGGGTTAAATATATATAAAATAGCAAGTTTTACATACTAGCAGAAGGAGCTACTGAATTTAAAATCATTATATAGTATAAAATTTTGAACCGGTTTTTTTAATAGATAGAGTGATTCAAGATAAAGATTTTTATGTATAATGTACAACCGTGCGAAGCCAGGGCGAGTAGCTTGTAAAATATAAAAAAGAGAAAATGAAATAAATCAGATTAAACAGGTTTCAATGTAATTTATAGAAAATTGAAATATTTAAAAACTACAAATTTAAATGTACATATCCCACCATAATGTCATTTAAAACGTGGCAGCAGATCTGGAGAATTGTAACAAGTCCCTTGGCGGTGCGAAGTATTATACACTTAAACGGTAACACACTAGTAAGCCAATTATTGGGTACTAAATCATTCAGGATCCTGAGTCCGATAAAGACCTAAAGAGCATTTAAAATGCAAATGCAATTGCAAGAGGCTTCTAATTACAGAATATGACATTAAATATCTTATGACACTCACCGCGACGAATAAAATCACATAATAAGGAAATAGGTTAGTAGGTAAGGATATCAAATTAAATAAAGCATCTAAAGCAAGCAAATAAAGTACCTTGAAATAAAAAAAAATATATACATAGATACAGCCGCAACTGTAAAATATCGTCACTGCTGCACTCTGCCCTTACCTCTATGTAAGGTAATTCATGGTTAAATAATAGTAAACGAGTTAGTAATAATAAGTAAACATCAGATTAGCTTATATAAATCCATCCATGTTAATGGATGTAGGCTTAATGTCATGATTTCTCATTCAATTGCCATAGGTATCGGAATTATAGAACACAAGGTGTTTAGTAGGCTTACAGTCCTTTGAAGGAACTGTTAAAACTACAAAGATTAAAAATGAAACATAAAGGGTATATAATAATTCTAATATATTCAGTATGCACTATATATTAAACCCAAAAATCTAATGAGTTTCAACAACCATAAAAAACAATACATAAAATATAATACGCCCAAAAATAACTGGTAATAAAACCTCATACAGGCTTGGTATTATATGAGAATATTACCCTTAAAATCCACATCAGATAGGGTTTTTCCAATCCCAGTTCAGCAGTTAGATATACAGTTACCAGATTCACCTGTGTCATAGCAATGAATATATGAATATAAAGAAAATAAACGTACTATTTTCTCGATTAATATATTGAAAAGTACATTTTCGCAATTAACTCCAGATTGATTGCTACATGTGTATACAGTTTGCATAAAGGCCCATCTCGAAACTATTAACCAAAATACATGCGACGTCACTCCATGAACAATAACGTCATCTACCAACGAGGAAATTATGAAGTGACTACGTAGTGACATGCTGGTATAGAAATTTATAATGTTGGTAGCAAACAAACATAAGAGCTATCTGATGGTAAACTGTTATTGGTAGGTTATAAATGGACAGTAAGTATTTATATGTATATTACATAGTAACTAGTCGTCGACCTTCAACAACCTCATACTGAAGTTTATTCACTTCATAGTGCTACTTACCTTTTCATTTAGTATTGCTTGGCAAATATTTGATCATAGAAAATACTTATTATTAAATTCTGAAAACCGATATTTCACGAAACAAGCAAAGAAATCTTATATTACTTATACTATAGAAAAAAAAATCAATTACTTTATTGACGTCTTTCGTGACGATTTACAAACTCGTTTTAGTAAACTTGTCTATCTGATCTGAGAGAGAAGAGAGAGAAAAGGAGCTATAGCATAGTAATTTAATTACACAAAATCTTAAAGAATTCTATACCAGACAGTTTAAATGGAATTACTCTGTTGATAAAAGAAACCCGCATGAAAATCTTTTCACAAATCTTTGTTATTATCGCCAATATATAATTCCTGCAATAATTATGCGTTTGCGCATTCGCTCTAATAATAATAAATGTATAAACAGAGAAAATAAAGTAATAAAATGTTTAAAATAAAAAGTATTCACACGTTTCAGTGATTTCATTAAAA